TTAAATATTATGCTTCATAGTGTAATTTGAATCCAAGGAGTATGATACATCCAACTTTCTCCTTTTCTTTTTTTTCAGGATTGCTTTGGCTGTTTGGAGTCTTCTGTGATTCCATACAAATATAGAGATTTCTGTTCTATGTCTCTTAAAAATGTCTTTGGAATTTTGATAATGATTGCATTAAATCTTGTATACTGCTTTGGGTTATATGGACATTTTAACTATGTTGATTCTTCCAATCCTTGAACACCAAATACGTTTGCATTTCTTTCTGTATTTTTAAATTTCTTTTAATAAGCTTTGTAGTTTTCAGTGTATCCTGAAAACTTCAAAGGTACTTCACATCTTTTAAGTTTATCCCTAGGTATTTTATTCTTTTTGTTGCAATTGTCAAAGGAACTGGTTTTTTTTTTTTCCTTTTTTTCTGATATTTAATTCCTATGGTAGTATATAAGAATGCAGTGGATTTTTATAAAATGATTTTTGTATCTTGCAACATTTTACTGTATTCATTTATTGTTTCTAATAGTTTTTGGTGGAGTCTTTAAAGTTTTCTCTATAAAAGAAGCATGCGAAAGACAAATACCATATGATCTCACCTATAAGCAGAACCTAACCAACAAAAGAAAGATGCAAGGTAAATAAGACCAGCAACACTGAAAGGAAAAGAAACCAACAGAGACAAGAGGGAAGGAGGGAGGGGTGGGTGGGGGAAAAGAAAGGGAAGGGGCAAGTCAAGGAACATATAGCAAGGACTCACGGACAAAACCTAAGTGGGGAAGGACTGAGAGAGGGAGGGGGGAGGGAGCAGGGGAAAGTCGTGGGGGAAAGGCAGAGACAAATGTATTTGGAAAAATTAATTAATTTTAAAAAATGAAGACATGAAAAGAAAGAAAAAGAAGCATGTCATCAGCAAAAGGTGACAATTTTATTTTTTTCTTCTCCATTTTTTGCCTTTGTTACTTTCTCTTGCCTGCTTGCTCTGGCTAGTCACCCAGTGCTGTGCTGAACAGGAGTGGCTAGAGTGGGCATCCTTGTCTTGTTCCTGATCTTAGAGGAAAAGCTTTCCATGTTTCACCATTGAGTATGTAATGAGCTGAAGGCTTGCCCTATAAGGCTTTTATTATGTTCAAGTATTTTCTTTCTATATTCAATTTATTGAGTGTTTTAGTCATAAAGGGATTATCTTGTCAAATGCATTTTCTGTAGTTCTTAATATGATTATGTCATTCTTTACCCTTTATTTTGTTAATGTGATGTATTACATTGAAAGAGATCAAAGACCTCAATATAAGACCTGAAACACTAAATTACATAGAAAGAACTAAAGTTATGGACCTTGGCCTTAAGAAGTATTTTATGAATTTGACTTCAAAGACAAGGAAAGTAAAGGCACAAGCAAATGAAAGAGACTAAATCAAACTGAAAAGCTTCTGCACATCAGAATAAACTGCCAACAAAACAAAAAGGCAACCATTGCAACAGAAGATATTTGCAAACAACAGCTCTGATGAAATTTATACATAACAGATATAAATAACTCATACAACTCGTCACCAAACAAACAATCCAATTTAAAAATGGGCAGAGGACCTGAACAGACACTTCTCCCAAGAAGAAATACAAATGGCCATCAGATTTATGAAAAGATACTCAACTTCACCAGTTGTTAGGGAAATGCAAATCACAACTATAATCATATACCATCTCGTACCTGTTATAATGGCTATTATCATTGTAAGATAAAAAATAACAAGTGTTGGAGAAATTGTGGAAAAAAGGAACCCTCATTCACTGCAGGTAGGAATGTTAATTGGTACAGCCACTGTGGAAAGCAGTATAGAGGTTCCTAAAACAATTAAGAATAGAGTTACCATATGACCAAAAAGCCTCTCTTTCGGGTACCTACCCCACAAATTTGAAAAGATTTAGTGTCAAAGAGATATGCACCTGTTAATTGCAGCACTGTTCACAGTGGCCAAGACATGGGAACAACCATAGTGTCCTTCAATAGTCCTTCGATAGAGGACTGAGTAAAGAAGATGTGCTACATATGCAATGGGATACTGCTCAGCCATAAGAAAAGGTGAAATTCTACCATTTGCGACCATGTAGATGGACCTTGAGAATATCAACTAAGTGAAATGAGTCAGTGTTAAAAGCTAAGAACCATATGTTTTCACTCATATGTGGGCTATGAAACTGAAACTCATAAATACAGGTAACAGTATTTGTGGTTACCAAAAGATGTGGGGTGGGGAAGTACTAAAAGGTAAAGGAGGCCAAATGTAAGGTGACAGAGATGGTTTGACTTTGGGTGGTGGGCACAAAATGCAATATACAGAGCATATATCATAGAAATATAAACTTGAAATCTACATAATCTAATTAACCAATGTCACCCTAATAAATTTAATTATAAAATAAAATAAAAATGCAATAGGTATAGATGCAAAAAAAAGAAAAATATAGAATGCTACTAATTATCAAAAGTATCATAATAATCATGTGTAGTAAATTATTCCATAACCATTTTCTTTTGAATTATTGTATAAACAATCATGTTGCTATTTTGAACCAGAAGTTAATTGAGTCATGTTCCCCTTGGGGAACTCTTGCAATTTTCACTAACAGTTGAGCAAGGGGGTATAAATAATCTAAATTAATTGTATTCATAGTGTATCTAAACCTGCCTTTGCTGATACCCAGGTAAGAAGAGAAAAATTTAGGTCACTTGAAAAATATTTTATGAGACGGGACCTCTCAAGTCAAGGTCAAATATTATAAAATCCCCAATACTAAACCCCTTAGTTCTTCCCTGTTGTGTAAATAAATACAACAAAAAAGATATAAACTATTGAATTTATGTCTGTACAGTTAAGTCAGAGTTTTCCAAATTGAGTGTATGCTTCTATTTTTATGGTGGAAGAAAAAAGATCAGATTAAAGCAAGAACAATAAATAAAACATTTGACCTATTCAACTATCTGAGGTCTTGTTTTTTGCTTTAATGAGATAATGAATTATCCTTTATTTTGCTAGCTTTGTGATATAGCAGCCAGTTCGAGTTAATGCTATTTCATAATTTTTCTCTAGTATTACTATTTAAAATCTACTTAGATATATATCAAGAATCAGGTTTTATTTCCCTGGGAGTGACAACTGGGGAGGGCAGTGACAGAATAAGGGCACGACACTAAAAGATACAGTGGACAATGGTGCAAAGTGCATGCACTTTGAGGGAGATCCAAGACTGATTCTTGGCTCTGGTACTCATTACCTGTGAGAGATGCTAGAAAGATGGAATAACGCAATGTGCACAAAAGCCTATTTCTGCTGCATGTGCTCAATGCAACAATGTTATTATTTTTCTCCTCTTTGCCAACTTGGTGCCTCAATGTTGAGGCAAAGATACTTGGAATTTTCTGCCTTCTGTTAAAATTGTGCTTTTAGAACTGGTTTTGCATTAGTATTAAAAACTGATACTATATTATTAAATTCTTAAAAATCATAGACATTTTGTCTTTATCACTCTGAATCCTTTCAAAATATTTTAATATTGATTTCGGTATACCCAATATAATATTTATTTTGGCATCTAGTAGAAATACCTGATTCAAGTAAAATTTAGCTGAGGTGTCTAGCATTATCTGCAGTACTGTAGCAAATGGAATTGCGGTGAACTGTGTGTGGAGGAAAATATCATAATCACAACATGATTCATTGGATTTAATCTTGAAAGAATAATATCTCAATGTTTATTAATAATTAGGAACAAATGTAATAAATATAGCTAAAAAATGAAATATCTGAAACCTCTGGTCACATTTTCGGTCACATTTTGGTCAGTAATCATAGGACCTAATATTTGCTAATGTTTTAAAAAAAATACATCTGACAACAAAGATCAATTATACAGTCATCTTAAATTTGTAACCAAAAAATGACAAATTTAAAAGAAATTGCCTTATACATTTATTGTTTTACATAATAGTTTACCTGGCTATATACTATGATATCTGCTTGGTTCATTCAAGCATATTTCTATTTTAAAGAGGAGTAAACTTTGAAGAGGAAACCTAACCTCCCACATGACATTTCATCATGACCAGGCCAATGAACACATACTTTCAGGTCTAAATCCTGTTATTTGTCTTAAACAGGTGTATCATTGAACTGGTGTCAAGAATTGTATTGGGGTGGATCTTTCTCTTGTAACTCTTGGTCACATTTTGAATACAAATTTAATCATTTTCATTAATGTTTGTATTTTAGTTCTTAATTTGGCTTCATTTAATCATGAGCCATCATCCATAAACAATCTCAATTGTTCTTTGAGATAAACCAAAAAGATCTAAGAGAGGTGGTAGTTTTGCACATTAGCTCACAAAATGTTAAAATCCACAAAGCAGCCACTGTATAGAACAAAACTAATTCAGCATATTCTCAATGTAAAATAATTATCAAGATTCAACTTTTTTAAATCTACTTTTGTCTTCCAAATGTTACTCAAATATTGTAGAATAAATATTAATATCCTCATTCTACAGATGACTAGCTTATAGCAAATAATTTTCCAACATTACTGGAAGGTCTAGGATACAGACATTTTATCCCACTGCTCTATACTGATATACAATCTGATGTGCATCAATATCAAAAACAAATTATTTTGTAACCAATCACTTGGAGTTTTAATGTGATTTAATAAGAAAACAAGAAATAGAATACAGTTTTATATTAATCATTTGACCTGAGGGTTTTGGAAAAGATAGGAAATCACATAGTGACTGGACACCCATCTTTTCCATTTAATTTGCAGTGAGTGGCAAGGACACTTGACCCACTGTCTTGTCACTGTCTCCTGAAAGGCTACCTGGAAATTTTACATTGCCAAAAAATAATATGAGGACATAGGTCTTATCTCCTTGTGTCACAATATTGAGTCACAATTCTGTTTATTCTTTCAGTAGTAAATGAATTGTAATTGTACATATATATATCTTTACTTTTGTTTTATGAGGTTTCAACATGAAGAATATCACTGAAGTTACAATGTTTGTTCTGAAGGGCTTCACAGACAATCTAGAACTGCAAATTATCCTATTTTTCCTGTTTCTAGTGATTTATCTGTTCACTCTGATGGGAAACTTAGGGCTGGTTGTATTGGTCATTGGGGATTCCCGGCTCCACAACCCCATGTACTATTTTCTATGTGTGTTATCATCAGTGGATACTGGTTTTTCCTCAGTAATTACACCAAACATGCTAGTAGATTTTCTGTCAAAGAATAAAATCATTTCATTCCTTGGATGTGCAACACAGATGTTTCTCGCAGTTACTTTTGGGACCACGGAATGCTTCCTCTTGGCTGCAATGGCATACGATCGCTATGTGGCAATCTACAACCCTCTCCTGTATTCAGTTAGCATGTCACCCAAAGTCTATGTGCCTCTCATCATTGCCTCCTACGTAGGTGGCATTTTGCATGCTTGTGTACACACACTGGCCACATTTAGCCTATCCTTCTGTGCGTCCAATGAAGTTAGACATGTTTTTTGTGACATCCCTCCTCTCCTTGCTATTTCCTGTTCTGACACTCAGACCAACCAGCTTCTACTGTTCTATTTTGCGGGATTTATTGAAATATCCACTATCCTAATTGTCCTGATCTCCTATGGCTTCATCCTGCTGGTGATTCTGAGGATGCGTTCTGCTGAGGGGAGGAGAAAAGTCTTTTCTACATGTGGCTTTCACTTAGCTGGAGTGACAATTTATCATGGAACAGTTCTCTTCATGTATGTGAGACCGAGTTCCAACTACTCTTTGGAACGTGACATGATAGTGTCAACGTTTTACAGCATTGTGATTCCCATGCTAAATCCCATCATCTATAGTTTGAGGAACAAAGATGTACATAAGGCAATAAAAAGAGTGTTTGGGAAAAATGGGTTTATCAATAAAGTGTCTTTTTACAGTTAAAAAATGAATTAAAAATTGAGAGGTTCTCTGTAACAATATTAAAAAGATATGATGAACATGTTTGTTTTTCTTGTCAGAATGGCTATCATCATGAATCAACAATTGCTTGCTAGGATGAGGACAAAGGGGACCCTCATGCAATATTGGTGGGAATGCAGGTTGGTGCTACCGGTGTGGAAAGCAGTATGGAGTTATGTCAAAAATTTAAAAATGGAGCCCTGACCACTATGGCTCAGTTAGCTGGGCATCATGCCACACACCAAACTGTCTCCAGATAGATTTCCTGTCCAGGCACGTGTCTGGGTTGCGGGTTCCATCCTTAGTTGGACCAGGTAAAAGAGGCAACCAATTGATCTGTGTTTCTCTTTTGCACCGTTGTTTCTCTCCCTTTCTCTCGCACTCCCTTCCCCTCTCCTAAATAAATAAATAAATAAATAGATATTTTAAAAATCTAGTTAAAAATTTACAAATAAAACTCTACAAGAAAGGGAGGATAAATGGTGTTGGAGAAGATGTATCTTGGGCTGATGAACACACAATACAATTTATAGATGATGTATGATAGAGCTGTACACCTGAAACATATAATTGTGCTAAACAAAGTCACCCCAGTAAATTCAATGAAAAAATAAATTTAAATTTTAAAAAGTTGAGACAAATTTATAAATATAAAACTGGAATTGCCTTATGAACCCAACGATCCTACTTCTGGGAATATATCTGGAGAAACCTAAACCACTAATTTGAAAAAATATATGTACCTTTATGTTCACTGTAGCATTATAGAAATAACCAAGATTTGGAAGCAGCCAAAAAGCTTATGAGTAGAGGAGTGGATAAAGAAAGCTGTGGTAGCTTACACAATGAAAATTCACTTGGCCGTAAAAGAGAGGGTATCTTACCTTTTGTAACAGTATGGATGGGACTAGAGGGTATTATGCTAAGTGAAATAAGCAAAACAAAGAAAGACAAGTATCATAGGATTTCACTTATATCTGGAATGCAGTGAACAAAATAAGTTAACAAACAAAATAGAAACAGACTCATAGACACAGAGAGCAGACTGACAGCTGTCAGAGGAGACAGAGGTTAGAGGAATGGAAGAAAAAGGGAGGGGATTAAGCATTTCAAATTGCTAGTTACAGAATAGCCACAGAAATGTAGATTACAGCATGGGAAATATGAGGCCTGTCCAGAAAATATCCAGCCATGCCCTATGAAAAATAGAGGCATTTATTGAAGAAGACAGCAGATACAAAAAAACATTGCACATAAGACAATGACACTTCAGTCTCCTTCAAAGTAGGTACCGTGGGACCTCACACAGCTCTCCCAGTTGCCATCAGCTGCTCCTTCGTATGTTCCTGAACCTCATCAATGGTCTTAACCTTTTCCCTATCAAAGGTGATTTTAGTTTTGGGAAAAGCCAGAAGTTGCAGGGCACCAAATCTGGGCTGTAGTGGGGCTGATTCACTTGAGTGATTTGATGTTTCGCAAAAATATCTTGGCACGAAACATGATCCATGAAGGAGCACACTGTTGTGAACAAGCTGCCAATCACCAGTAGCCCATGACTGTGGCCATTTTCATGATGATGCATCTCTCAACCAATGAATAACTTGGAGGCAGTACTGTTCAGTTATTGTTTGGCCCAAAGGGACATACTCATGATGGACAATACCTTCACAATAAAAAAAAACAAAACGCCAATTGCATGGTCTTTGTCTTTCTGCAGCTTTGCCACTCCTTCTTCAGGCTTGGAGAACCAAAAGACTTACACTGGGATGACTGGGCGTTCATTTCTGGATCATAGCCATAGGCCTATGATTCACTTCGGATTATGACCTTCTCGAGGAGATCTGGTTCATTGGTAGTTGTTTGAATCAAGTCATTAGCAACTGTATGTACGATGTTTCTTTTGCTCTAGTAGCAGAATCCAAGCAAGGAATTTTACCACGACACATTTCATTTACCACGACTAAGATCCTGCATCAAAATCTTGGACACAACAGTTTTTGGAATCCTGACATCAATTTCTAGTTCCTGCACTGCCAGTCGCCCATCTTTGTGGGCTGCAGCCCATGCACATTCTACATTCTCAGGCGTTCTGCTTGTTGCAGGCTTTCCAGACTGTGGATCACCTTCAACAGACTCTCGACCATCTTTGAAGCATTTCTGCCACACTTTATTTGTGCTGCACTCATTGCATCTTCCCCAAAATCCTTCTAAATCATCTGAATAGTTTTCAGAGGAATGTTCAAGCTTAACGCAAAACTTGATGCACATTTGTTGTTCTACTCTCAGTCATTTTGAATGAACTGAGACAGCCACACATTACACATGATCACTCAGTGGTGTCTACCACTCCCTCTGAATAATACAGTGAAACCATCATTTCACTGAATAATACAGTGAACCATCATTGTTCACACATGCACTTTCCAGTCTACTTTCCTTGGCTGCCAGGTTACCTTGATGTTGTGCAAACCATTCTTGTAATATTAACAATGGCTGGTCCATTTCTGGACAGACCTCATCTGGTCAATGATATTTAAATAAATATTTTTAGAGCCAGATGGGTACTTGAGGCAGCAGGGGAACCACTCTGTAAAGTAAACAATTGTCTAACCACTTTGCTGTACATCTGAAACTACTACAGAATAATCTTAAGTGTAAAATATAATTAAAAATTAAAGAAAAAAATTAAAGGTGCCTTGATCAATGTGAACACTACATATTTAAAGAAAAGATTACATGTGTATCTGACTATGTGTGTGTTAATATACATAATATATACCAGTACTTATGTTGAAATCAGAACACCTATACTTTGGAACACCTATACCTCATTTATTAGAAAATGTGGGCTTTGTGAGGTTAACTTAAAATGAGGTATTTGGGTGAGTCCTAATCCAATATCACTGGTGTCTTTATAAGGAGAAAGGCCTCAGAAGAAATCCACCTGCCTCTGACTTTATCTCATCTAGATAATCTTATCTAGATTATAGACCACAGTCAAATAAATTTCTGTTGTATAAACCATCAACCAGTCTACTGTACTTTGTTATGGCAGACCTGACAAGTTAATGCAACCACTATCAGCATATGTATAAATATATGTGTGTGTTTGTGGTGTGTTTCTGAGAATGAATTAAGTAAGAAGCAAATGGATCACACAGTTTCCCTGCATGTATGGACACTGTGCAGGTGGAAGTTTCACTATGACTTTAAAAGAAAAAGGTGTAAGAAGAAGAGAAAGACACTCATATGCTAAAACAAAAAATTTTATTCTAACTTTTTGATAAGAGGACAACAATGTCATTCTTAATTTATGTTTAATGGTTAGGAAGAAACGGTACTTTATTTACGCACCATTTTCCCAACCACTCTTCTCACTGCCTCTTTCACATCTTTGTTCCTCAAGCTGTAGATGATGGGATTCAGCATGGGGTTCACAATGGTGTAAAATGTTGACACTATCATGTCATGGTCCAAAGCATAGTTGGAACTTGGTCTCACATACATGAAGAGGATGGTTCCATGAAAAATCGACACTCCTGTTAGGTGAGAGCCACAGGTAGAGAAGACTTTTCTCCTCCCCTCAGCAGAACGCATCCTCAGAATGGCCAGCAGGATGAAGCCATAGGAGACCAGGACAATCAGGATGGTGATGATCTCAAGGGCGCCCGTGAGATAGAAGAGCAAAAGCTGGTTTGTGTGAGTGTCAGAACAGGAAATAGCGAGGAGAGGAGGGATGTCACAAAAAACATGTCTAACTTCATTGGAGGCACAGAAGGATAGGCTAAATGTGGCCACTGTGTGTACACAAGCATGCAAAATGCCACCAACATAGGAGGCAATGATGAGTGGCACATAGACTCTGGGTGACATGCTAACTGAATACAGGAGAGGGTTGTAGATTGCCACGTAGCGATCATATGCCATTGCAGCCAAGAGGAAGCATTCCGTGGTCCCAAAAGTGGCAGCAAGAAACAGCTGTGTTGCACATCCAAGGAATGAAATAACTTTATTCTTTGACAGAAAATCTACTAACATATTTGGTGTAATCACTGAGGAATGGCAGGCATCCACAGATGATAACACACTCAGAAAGTAGTACATGGGGTTGTGGAGCCGGGAATCCCCAATGACCAATGCAACCAGTCCTAAGTTCCCCATCAGAGTGAACAGGTAAATCACTAGAAACAGGAAAAATAGGATAATTTGCAGTTCTAGATTGTCTGTGAAGCCCTTCAGAACAAACATAGTAACTTCAGTGATATTCTTCATGTTGAAACCTCATGAAAAATACCTGAAGATTTTTATAATATTGTCTTCATATTGCTGTGACCAAATCAGCAATACTGTGACTCAGTTAAAGCAACCTATGTCTTCTTATTTCTTTCTTTTCAGTGAATAATTTCTTAGCTGCGGTTCAAGATCCAGCACCATGGCCGAGGGTCAAAGCTTGATGTCACTCACTACAGAGTCAAACGGAAAATTTGAGTTCTAACTTACACGCTCAACTCATGTTATTAAAAACTGTGAAGTCAAATGGGTAGTTCACCAGTGAATACCATTTGTTGTCTTCCTACTAAGTGACATTAAAACACAAGTAAAGCATTAAAAAAATTCATTATATAATGACAATTTTTATATCAAAACACAGTAAATATTGAAGGGGGACATATATTAATACAATAAAATCTTTAAAATAACTTTAAATATAGAATGTGTTCAATTAGGTTTGTCTGACATACTAACAACCTAGTGAATTATAATTTATGAGTTAAATCTAAAAATCTTCCAACTCCATTTGATTATTGAATAAAAAATAACTCATGTGTGGAATCTATAGAACAAACTGAACTAACAAGCAAAACATTGACAGACTCACAGGTGACAGCTAGTGGGGTGGGATGTTAGCGGGAGGCGGGTGTGGGCAGAAAGCACAGCAGGCTAATGGACCCGACAACAGCGTGGTGATTGCTGGGAGAAGG